CATTTGGATTTCGCAGTGGCAGCGCTACTGCGACCACGCACACCGTCATTTACTATTCTGTGACTAACAATAGGTCCAAGGAACAGGGAATGAGCAACTGCCATGTTTGTCATGGCCCTTGTGCTGTTGGATCTGTGGTTATATGAGCACACAGTGTGTAGGATCATATGAGTAGCGAATAAAACAAGTTAGTTTTACCACCTGGAATTCTTTTAGAATCTTTTGTTTTAGGCGAGAAAAGTGGTCACATAATCCCGGCTTTGGGTTATTTGCAGGGCATCTCGGGTCAAATTAGGTACGATGGGCGGGCAAGTCATAATTACTGCTCCACCTCTCGATCGGATTAAGCTCCCCTTTCTCAGACTCTTTTACGAATAAGAACCTATTAACTAATATGAATTTGATTTCCTGTTTGTATGAAGTATACTCCTGTTTATATAATTGTGAGTCTGTTAATGTAGGATATATATAAGCATATATATATCATGTGTGTTTGTGTGATTTTGACATACCATTTTATCACGTGATCAAGAAATTAGCATGTGATGGCAGAATGATTAGATATTATTACTGTTTTTCACATCTCGCGCTATTTTCTCGCAGTAAGGACTAAAAAAAAAAAAAAAATTAGCTCCATCCAAATACACTCCTGTTTCAGTGAGATCAATGCGTGCTAATTTATATATGCAATTAAGGTATTTGTTCATTTCTTTAAATGCGCTGAATTAGATAATAGACTCCTTTACACACATTACAGTTTCCTTCGGGTCCATAACAGACAGGAACGGGGAATCAGGACAGATGAAAGGATTATCTGTCTAGGGGGCGGGCAAGTGATTATGACTTGCCCGCCCATCGTACCTACTTTGACCTAAGTTGACCTCCATAAATCTACTTTGCGTTTTTCACATAACTTTTTTTTAACGTATGAATCAGGTGCTATACAGGTGCGTGGTCACGTGACCAATTCTCTTATATATATGAGACCAGAGAATGAAATCAGGTCAGTACTAGCCATACAGGTGGCGCACACGCAACTCACTCTCAAGTGTACACTTCTTTTCCTCGATAACAAACCATGAAATTGGCTGTTTTCCTCTTGATGGTGGGTTCCATGGCGACCCCATGCACGGCACAAGGACTTTCCTGGCTATTCAAACGCCTCTATAAAACAGGTCGCCATAACATCCGCGACCTCAGCGGCGATCGTCACACCTCTCATCAAGTGACTATAGATCAACCCTTCAACTTTTATCAACACTTGGTAAGTAACTCTCTACATTGCTTCCTTTCGTATATAAGTAGACACATATATGTAAAAGGTTAAGTACTACTGAAAGATGTTATCAAATCTAATGTTAAACTTTGTTTTGTAGCGTCTGTGCACCAACGACCGCGTGTGTGGGCGTGGCCAGTTCTGCGACCAGCACTACGGCGTGTGTCGGGACCACCTGACGGAGGGACAGGAGTGTCGTGGTGACGCCATGTGTGAGGGCGGATACGACTGCATGTTCGGCGTGTGCCAAAAGCGTATCAAGCGTGGGCGTGAGGGCGCCAGGTGTCGCAAGGAGAGGGATTGTGGAGCAGGGATGTGCTGCGCCCGTCGCCATGGAGAGCAGGTGTGTCAGCGGCGTGTGCCGTTGGGCCACAAGTGCTACGTACCTGAGGGTGGCCTCGACTACTCCATGAACCAAGTTTGTCCGTGCGAGAGCGGCCTTGTGTGCAAATACACGGCTGAACAGCCTCCTTCCAGGCACCAGCTCATCGCCCTCATATCGGCCTCCGAGGACATGCGCTGTGCAGCGCCCTCGCACCGCGTCGACTGACGTGTCAAAAGTTGATTGTGTTCTCACTGTACTTGTCCCAGATGAATTTCTAGTCAGTAATGTATCTTGAATAAGCTATTAAACATTTTTCGTTATTTTCGACTGTGAATTGAATATCCCTTCATTATTAAACCTACCTAACGAAGGTGAACTAGGTCAGCACATGCAGTAAACCCCATAAAAATAAATATTACAAAAAAAATATCGGACGTAATTCTTCGAAAGAAAAGGCATGGAGTCAAATCGCATTAAGAATCAAAGGTTTTTAGTTGTCTTTGCAGACTATAACTTATCTGGCGAAATGAATAGACACATGGACGAATAAATGATTCGATGAGTATGAAGGCACAAGTATAGATATGAAGTAGATATATGCTGCTGCATATAACCATAATGGTAACAATATCAACATCATTATTCATGGTAAATGTCATTGTAAAATGGCAAACATCAGTAGTCACTATTTAGAAGTTTGTGACAAAATAAACAATTCACTTAAATCTTTCAAAAAAAAATTCAAGCGAAAAGAAGGAAAAAATCATATTGAGGTTAATTCCTGCACTTCAAGCATATAGGACATATTTCGGGACTGTGTGTGTCTCCTGTATATTTCTAATAGAAATAGGAGCCTAGAAATATGCTGCAGATATTATTTTTACTTGTCAACTGTACCAATATTTTTTTCTCTCCTCCCATACCTGTTCTATGCTGTTGCTCTTTAAGTGGCAGAATAATGCTAATCTATTTAAAGTGATAATGGTAATGATAATACTAATAACAGCAGCAGCAACGATATCACAATAGTTAAAGGTAATACTAAAACGTGTAGGATGACGGAAACTAAGGTTTTCAAAATAGTCCAGTTGGTGAGACAGAAGAACAAATCGCATTTTCATCCAGTAGAATTGTGTTGCAATCAGCACCACCTCTGCATTGCAAGTGACAAGAACAGACTTCCAGACCATCTTGGAAAAAGTGAGCGTTCTTTCATTTGCTCATGTTTGCTGTTCACAGGTATATTAAACGGGGACAACGTTCTATCTTCTTATAGATAATATATATGTGTGTGTTTACATCTGTGTATACACACATGTATACACATATATGTATATGTATGTCCACACGCACCGGGTGGTTCGTCAAGGACTGCACCGTGGTGGCCCAAATATATGTATATATACATACATATACATGTGTGTATATTAGTATATATATACACATACATGCATACATACAGAAATACACGTGCATCTTATTTATTTTTACATATCTAGTCATTTATCAATTTACTTGACTATTTATTTTTCCACTTCCATTTACCTATTTGTGTCAGTGTTAACACTACCACTCACCGGTTGTTCAGAACCATCCGCAAGTCTCCATCAGGTGTTTATAAGTACTTCGTGTATGAATATTAAATTCACTCTTGTTCTTTTTTACATTTGTATTGAACGAATGTGTGTTAAATGTGATACCGAGTTTAGCATTGGCGGTGCTCCAGCGACCTTGCATGCCGTCTCCAACTTTTCAGTGACGAACTCTGAGTCGAAGGAACAGGGAATGAACAGCAGACATATTTGTCATGGACAGGCGTGCAGGCCCTTGTGCTGTGGGGTCTGTGGTTATAAGAATCTACAAAGTGTAGGATCGTACGAGTAGCTAATAAAAGTGAGTTTTACCACCTGGAATTCTTTTAAAATCTTTTGTTTCAGGTGAGAAAAGTGGTCACATAATCCCGGCTTTGGGTTACTTGCAGGGCATCTCGGGTCAAAGTAGGTACGATGGGCGGGCAAGTCATAATTACTGCTCCACCTCTCGACCGGATTAAGCTCCCCTTTCTCAGACTCTTTTACGAATAAGATTTCATGTTTGTATGAAGTATACTCCTGTTTATATGATTGTGAGGCTGTTCCTCCACTTGTACAGTCACTTATCTTCCGATGAAGGAAAACAACTATAACTACGAATAACCCTTCTTTTAACTAAGAATTCGGCACCATGCAATTACATGAGATCAGTGCTGTTAAGGTATGATCTGTTAATTTATTCAAATGCGCTGAAAGATTCAGCAGAATTTGATAATACACTCGTTTATGCCCATTACAGTTTCCTTCGGATCCATAACAGACAGGAACGGGGAATCAGGACAGGTGAAAGGATTATCTGTCTAGGGGGCGGGCAAGTGATTATGACTTGCCCGCCCATCGTACCTACTTTGACCTAAGTTGACCTCCATAAATCTACTTTGCGTTTTTCACATAACTTTTTTAACGTATGAATCAGGTGCTATACAGGTGCGTGGTCACGTGACCAATTCTCTTATATATATGAGACCAGAGAATGAAATTAGGTCAGTACTAGCCATACAGGTGGCGCACACGCAACTCACTCTCAAGTGTACACTTCTTTTCCTCGATAACAAACCATGAAGTTGGCTGTTTTCCTCTTAATGGTGGGTTCCCTGGCGACCCCATGCACGGCACAAGAACTTTCCTGGCTCTTCAAACGCCTCTATAAAACAGGTCGCCATAACATCCGCGACATCAGCGGCGATCGTCTCACCTCTCATCAAGTGACTATAGATCAACCCTTCAACTTTTATCAACACTTGGTAAGTACAACTCTACATTGCTTCCTTTCGTATATAAGCAGACACATATATGTAAAAGATTACATATTAGTAAAAGATGCTCCATATCTAATTATATACTTTTTTTTCAACAGCGTTTGTGCACCAACGACCGCGTGTGTGGGCGTGGCCAGTTCTGCGACCAGCACTACGGCGTGTGTCGGGACCACATGGCGGAAGGAAAGGAGTGTCGTGGTGACGCCATGTGTGAGGGCGGATACGACTGCATGTTCGGCGTGTGCCAAAAGCGCATCAAGCGTGGGCGTGAGGGCGCCAGGTGCCGCAAGGAGAGGGATTGTGGAGCAGGGATGTGCTGTGCCCGTCGCCATGGAGAGCAGGTATGTCAACGGCGTGCGTCGTTGGGCCACAAGTGCTATGTACCTGAGGGCGGCCTGGACTACTCCATGAACCAAGTTTGTCCGTGCGAGAGCGGCCTTGTGTGCAAATACACGGCTGAACAGCCTCCTTCCAGGCACCAGCTCATCGCCCTCATGTCGGCCTCCGAGAACATGCGCTGCGCAGCGCCCTCGCACCGCGTCGACTGACATGTCAAAAGGAGTTGATTGTGTTCTCAGTATATTCATCCCAGATTAATTTCTAGTCAGTAATGTATCTTGCATAAGCTATTAAACTTTGTTCATTATTTTCCGACTGTGAATTGAATATTCCTTCATTATTAAACCTACCTAATGAAGGTGAAATAGGTCAGCACATGCAGTAAACCCATCAAAAATATCGCTAAAAATATTGAACGTAGTACTTCGAAAGAAAAGGCATTGAGTCTAATCGTATTGAGAATCAAATGTTTTCGGTCGTCTTTACAAACTAAAACTTATCAGGCGAAATGAATAGACAAATGAAGTAGATATAAACAGTTATATATAGCCGTAATGATAGCAATATCAACAGCATTATTCATTGCAAATATCATTGTAAAATGGCAAACTTCAGTAGTTACCATTTAGAAGCAGACGCCGCTGACAAAATGAACATCATTTCACTTCAATCATTTAAAAAAATCGAAGTGAAAAGAAAAAAAGAGAAATGAGTATTTCGGGTGATTCCTGTACTTATAACGTGTGAGACATTTCGGGACTGTGTGTCTCCTGTATATTTCTAATATAAACTGGACCCTAGAAATGTACTGCAGATATCATTTTTACCTGTCTACTTTACTAATGTTTTTTTTTCTCATCCCATACCTGTTCTATGTTGTTGCTAATCAAGTGGCAGAATAATGATAACCTTATTAAAGTGATAGTGGTAATGATAATACTAATAGCAGCAACAGGAACAATGTTACAATAAGTAAAGGCAATACTAAAAAACGTATAGGATGACGGAAAACTAAGGTTTGCAAAATAGTCCAGTTGGTGAAACAGAAGAACAAATCGCATTTTCATCCCATAAGAATTGTTGAGTTGTGTTGCAATCAGCACAACCTCTGCATTGTAAGTGACAAGAACAGACTTCCAGACCATCTTGGAAAAAGTGAGCATGCTTTCAGTTGCTCATGTTTGCTGTCCATAGGGACAACGTTCTGTTTTTTTATAGATAATATATATGTGTTTATATCTATATGCATGTATGTATATATATATACATATACACACACAAACACCGGGTGTTTCGGGCACCGCACCGGTGATAGCACAAATATATGTATAGATACATATACATATATATGTGTGTATGTTAGTATGTGTATATATACATATGCATGCACACATACATTAACACACGTGCATCTTATTTTTTTTTTATACATCTACTATTTATTTATCAATTTACTTGTCTATTTATTTTTCCACTTTCATTTACTTATTTGTGTCAGTGTTAACACTACCACCACTCACCGGTTGTTCAGAACCATCCGCAAGTCTCCATCAGGTGTTTATGAGTACTTCGTGTATGAATATTAAATTCACTATTGCTCTCTTTTACATTTGTATTGAATGAATATGTGTTAAATGTGATACCGAGTTTAGCATTGGCGGTGCTCCAGCGACCTTGCATGCCGTCTCCAACTTTTCAGTGACGAACTCTGAGTCGAAGGAACAGGGAATGAACAGCAGGCATGTTTGTCATGGACAGGCGTGCAGGCCCTTGTGCTGTTGGGTCTGAGGTTATATAAACCTACAAAGTGTAGGATCGTACGAGTAGCTAATAAAAGTGGAATTGGAATTCTTTTAGAATCTTTTGTTTCAGGTGAGAAAAGTGGTCACATAATCCCGGCTTTGGGTTACTTGCAGGGCATCTCGGGTCAAAGTAGGTACGATGGGCGGGCAAGTCATAATTACTGCTCCACCTCTCGACCGGATTAAGCTCCCCTTTCTCAGACTCTTTTACGAATAAGATTTCCTGTTTGTATGAAGTATACTCCTGTTTATATGATTGTGAGGCTGTTCGTCCATTTGTACAGTCACTTATCTTCCGTTGAAGGAAAACAACTATAACTACGAATAACCCTTCTTTTAACTAAGAATTCGGCACCATACAATTGCATGAGATCAGTGCTACTGAGGTATGATCTGTTAATTTATTCAAATGCGCTGAAAGATTCAGCAGAATTTGATAATACACTCGTTTATGCCCATTACAGTTTCCTTCGGATCCATAACAGACAGGAACGGGGAATCAGGACAGGTGAAAGGATTATCTGTCTAGGGGGCGGGCAAGTGATTATAACTTGCCCGCCCATCGTACCTACTTTGACCTAAGTTGACCTCCATAAATCTACTTTGCGTTTTTCATGTAACGTTTGTAAGGTATGGATCAGGTGCTATACAGGTGCGTGGTCACGTGACCAATTCTCTTATATATATGAGATCAGCGAAAGAAATCAGGTCAGTACTAGCCATACACGTGTTACACGCACAACTTACTCTCAAGTGTATACTCCTTTTCCTCGATAACAAACAATGAACTTGTATCTCTTCTTCCTGACGGTGGGCTGCCTGGCGACCCCATGTACGGCACAAGGACTTTCCTGGCTCTTCAAACGCCTCCATAAAACAGGTCGCCATAACATCCGCGACCTCAGCGGCGACCGTCACACCTCTCATCAAGTGACGATAAATCAACACTTGGTAAGTACAACTCTACACATTACTTGCTTTCGTATATAGGCAGACATATGTTGAAGGTTACATATTAGTAAAAGATGTTACCATATCTAATTATATACCTCTTTTCAACAGCGTCTGTGCATCAACGACCGCGTGTGTGGGCGTGGACAGTTCTGCGACAAGCACTACGGCGTGTGTCGGGACCACATGACGGAAGGACAGGAGTGTCGTGGTGACGCCATGTGTGAGGGCGGATACGACTGCATGTTCGGCGTGTGCCAAAAGCGCATCAAGCGTGGGCGTGAGGGCGCCAGGTGCCGCAAGGAGAGGGATTGTGGAGCAGGGATGTGCTGCGCCCGTCGCCATGGAGAGCAGGTGTGTCAGCGGCGTGTGCCGTTGGGCCACAAGTGCTATGTACCTGAGGGCGGCCTGGACTACTCCATGAACCAAGTTTGTCCGTGCGAGAGCGGCCTTGTGTGCAAATACACGGCTGAACAGCCTCCTTCCAGGCACCAGCTCATCGCCCTCATGTCGGCTTCCGAGAACATGCGCTGTGCAGCGCCCTCGCACCGCGTCGACTGACATGTCAAAAGGAGCTGATTGTGTTCTCAGTGTATTTATCCCAGATGAACTTCTAGTCAATAATGTACCTTGCATAAGCTAATAAATATTGTTCCTTATTTTCCGTCTGAATTGAACCTTTCCTGAGTTGCTGACAGTTTCACTGTAGACCTGATAATTCAATCATGGTGCTCTCAGTGAGGCAGGATTGTGAGTCGGTCTAGAATGCAGTTGCCTCAGGATCCAAGTCTGCTGATTAATTGAGTATTAATCACTTTAGTAGACAATATAAAGCTCTTAGGTGTAACCCTTGATTCGAATTATTACATTCGAATTGCAGAGTAGGAATATGACCCAGGCAGTTTCATCTAAGGCAAAATTCACAAGTGCAAGGAGATTTATGAAGATGACTTTACCCTTAGATACTTCTTTTCTTTTATTCTGCCTCATTTTCAGTACTGTTCTCCTGTGTGGTTATCTACTGCAGAGTCACATTTACGACTGTTTGAACGTTCTTTTAATTCCTTTAAATTTCTCTTGTCTGACTTAGATTTGGGCATTGGGCATCGTAGGGATACTGGGGCTCTTATACAAGATTGTAACCGGTAATTGACACCCCCACTATATTTTTTACCAACCTGCAAGAGTTACTAGAAGTTCAATGATATTTGGTGCATGTAGATGAACTAATCAGTTTTCTAGATGTTATTACTGCTATTTGTAGGCTTTGGAATAGATTGCCTTCAATGATTGTAATTTCTCCGACTCTCGATAAGTCTAAAAGATCAGCTAATATGTATTTACTGCGTAAACCGGTGATGATTTTCTATCTTTTGTTTCTTTCTCGACGAAATGAGTATGTAATAATTCGAGAGAAAATCAATTTGTCTTTACAAACTACAACTTATCTGGCGAAATGATGAATATACATATGAATGAATAAATAATTAGATGCAATATCATATATGTATTTATACACATATATTTTAAAATATGTATACACATATACATACATACATGTATATATATATATATATATATATATATATATATATATATATATTTGTGTGTATGTATCTATATACATACATACATCATACATTCATACACACATAAACACAGACACATACACATTTGATTATTTATTCAACTATTTATTTTTTCATTTACTTTTATATCTATTTATTATGTTTTTCATCTATTAATTTGTTAATACTATGTCATACACCGGACTCACCCACAAATCCCCATCTGGTGTTTATGAGTACTTATTGTATGAATTTTAAATTCGTTTGTTCCTTTTACATTTGTAATGGATGAATGCATATCGAAAGAAGATCTGGATTTTGCAGTGGCGGTGCTCCAGCAACCGTGCATGCCGTCGTTAACTATTCAGTGACCTACAAAAAGTCCAAGGAACAGGGAATGAACAGCAGACATATTTGTCATGGACAGGCGTACAGGCCCTTGTGCTGTTGGGTCTGTGGTCATAAGAGCTCACAGTGTGTAGGATCATATGGGAAGCGAATAAAGGAATTAAGTTCTACTACCTGGAATTATTTTAGATTTTTTTTTGTTTCAGGCGAGAAAAGCGGTCACATAATCCCGGCTTTAGGTTACTTGCAGGGCATCTCGGGTCAAGGTAGGTACGATGGGCGGGCAAGTCATAATCACTGCTCCACCCCTCGTCGTAGTAAGTTCCTTTTTCTCGGACTTTTTCGAATAAGAACTATCATGTACTACGAATATGGTTTCCTGTTTATATGAAGTATACTCCTGTTTACACTATTGAATGTCTGTTCATTTGGGATATGTAGGCCAAAAACGCATATAAAAAATATGACATTGGTTATGAATCTGAAACATCCATTTCAACTCAATGTTTATCCACTTGTATATTAACTTATCTTTAGTTA